CCCAAATGCTAATTTCCCCATTATGGCCGTCCTTGTCTTCCCCGCTGTCTTAGCTGTCAGCCTAGGGTGGTGCCGACACCTTTGCCCAAGGTTGTGCCACCTTTGTGTGAGCATCAATGTATGCTGAGATGCTATCAGCAAATGCCTCCCAACAATTATCAATGTGTTGCCGGATGTGCATATCTTTTAAGGAAAACTAATGAAAAATATTTGAAAACTTTGAGTTTTAACAATAAGGACAAAATAAAAGGTAAAGTGAATAGTACCAGGGTTGACTTTTTAGTGTAAAAATATGGTTTTTCGTTAAAGTGAACAGTACCGGGAGCTTTTCGTTAAAGTTATCTATCTTTTATATATAAAGCCGGAGGCCTGGTGTCATTAGCTTCAACAAAAAGTTTTAGACACAAATGCCCTCAAAACAAAAAATTTCAGAAGAAGTCTAAAATAATACATCAAATAATCCAGGGACATTTTCGTCATATAAACAGTATTTTAAAAATAATTATTATTTTGTCATAAAAATTATCAAACAAGTCACTCTCGTTCCTGCATGTAGATCAGCAGCTGCACTGCTATTCTTATCCTCCTCCTACATTCTTCCACTCCAAAAACTTCATTTCATCGTAACTTTTTCATACGGTAACGAAATCACACAAGGTCGGAGCCTATAGATTCGTATCAGAACTCTCTTCCATCTGATGTGATACCCACACCTCAAAATCAAATGTGTTCAAAGATTGGAGCCTAGAACAATGACGGTTTTTTGGCGGAGTTTTGCTGATTTCGGCCAATCCCGCCAGAATTTGGTATTGGCCCAAGAGAGAAAGTTGATCATTTCCTGACAATCTTTCTACCTATCCCTTCAATTTTCTCTCCACTTTTCTCTGTCATTAATTAAACATTCAAACCGCGTAAAGATTTCCGAAAAATAAAAGTTATTTCCCATTAAGAATAAAAAACCCAGGAACCATTTGCTCAAAATCCAGAAAAACTCGAGATAATCACTTATTTGATGAAATCCCAATGAAGCAAACGAAGAATGCACCTCAATCTGACCGTTAGCGGCGACAATATGAAGAGCAGAGTGGTGGATGAGAGTTGGGTCTTTCTCTACCACAGCTTCCATGGTGTCCAACTCCTAAAATTGTACGGCTCGGAACAGCCCATGTTCTTCACTCTCTGCAACTCAACCCCTGACCCATCTCTCTCTCTCTCTCTCTCTCTCTCTCTCTCTCTCTCTCTATCTTTGATCCATCTTCACCTGAAGGCAAAAGGTGGTGGCCTCCATTGCTCGCAGAATGAAAAGTTTCACATTTATGTATTTCCAAGTGTAGAGAGAGAATGAGAAGAGGGAGGAGAGAGAGAGAGCTTTGGAGTTTGGAGCTGCCCAGAGCGAGACTAGGTGCTGACGAGTCATTGTTCGGGCAGTCACTAAGGCTGACGAGTCATTGTTCGGGCAGTCACTAAGGCTGACGAGTCATTGTTCCAGCAGTCACTAGGGCTGACTACGGGCAGCAGTCAGATATTTCTAGGGAAGTTGGATTAGATTCCGGAAACAGTATGATGGGCCAACCAGCCACACCCCAGTTGACTAAATCAATCGTAGCCATTGGGATTTTGACTCGATTCTTTTGGTCGTTGGATTAATAATAATTAGGCTGCTAATTTTGAAATTATGGACGTTAATTTGATGTTAATTGTGTTTTACTAGGACGATGATTTGCCGTGTTGGAAGTTTGACTGTAGGCTTCGACAAAAATATTAGGAAAAAATTGCCCCTCAACAAAAAAAAATCCAAAAAAATCCAATATAATATATCAAATAGTATAGGGGTAATTTGGTAATTTGGTCATCATAAAATATAATATAAATATAAGTGGGAAGAGAGAAAATGATAAAAAAAAAATGGAAGGATGAATGAAAGTTGATGGTGTCCACATGAAAGGAAAAGAAAAATATAATAAAAAATAAGAAAAATTATGAATATTGTGTTTAAAACATCTTAAGAAGCGTGTAATACCGCCTATAATAAATGTCTTTCACATGTGGATAATGTGCTAACAATAATAAATGTCTTAAGAGGCGTGTAATGCCGCTTAAATAAGGGAAAAGGGGTGGGCTTATGTAACATCCCACATCACCCAGGGGAGTGATCCTTAAATGCATATTCTCATCCCTACCTTGTCACAGCCCGTCCCGGAGATGTGTATTATTTTATTCTTGATGATGTGAAATGACGGAAATACCCATGGACATTAAATTGTGTGATGTGGTCTAAGTGTTGTGTATGGATCACTATTCTCAAATCCTAATTGTTTTGGACCAATTAGGTTTAGGTATATTGTGTATTTTGGGTTGTTGACCAATTCTAGACCACACACACACATCCACATCACCTTCTCTCTCTCTCACTCCCGTACTCTTCCTTTCGGTTCACTCTCTCTCTCCCTCTCCCTTCTCGTATGGACAACTCCCAGACACCAGTTACCATTTACAGATCGAGGGATTTAAAGTCACCATCGTCTTCCTGGTAACTCAACGAGTCAAATGGTACCCTTAGTTTGAGGAGAAGTTCACAGGAACTTGAGGAGCTAGAAGCTCCGGTGTAAGGTACAGTACCTTGACTTTGATCGTGGTTGTTTTAACGTGTTTTAATGGTTAAGAAAGGTTCTAAACAACTTTATTTAAGTTTTTGAGAAGTTTCGAGGTGTTTTGGACGTTGAAAATCCAAGAAACCATAACCCTGATTCTGAGTACTGTGCATGCACTAATTAATGCGTGGTTTTTAGGAGTTTTTAAGCTCATAGGAAGCTTTAGGAGGTCCTAAGGAGGCTCGGAGTGGATCGTTGGTGAAAATTGGATGTCAGAAAGCCCAGGTTCGAGGCAGTCGGGTCAGCAGAGATAGGGATGTGGTGTTCATGCCAACAGAGGTCGCGGTGGATGACATCAGAAAGTTCCCATAAACAAAACCGTGATGGCGTGGTCGGGGCCCAAAGTGGACAATATAGTGCTACGGTGGTGGAACGGGCCCGGGATGTGATGAACCCGGGCAGGGATGTGACCAATGGTATCAGAGCCAATCCCTAGCTGGAAGTGTGCCGACGAGGATGTCGGGCCCTTAAGGGGGGTGGATTGGAACATCCCACATCGCCCAGGGGAGTGATCCTTAAACGTACATTCTCATCCCTACCTAGCACGAGGTCTTTTGGGAGCTCACTGGCTTCGGGTTCCGTAGGAACTCCGAAGTTAAGCGAGAAGGAGGCCAGAGCACTCCCAGGATGGGTGACCCACTAGGAAGTTGTTCGTGAGTTCCCAAAAACAAAACCGTGAGGGAATGGTAAGCCCAAAACGGACAATATCATGCTACGGTGGTGGAGCGGGCCTGGGAAGTGGTCCGTCTCGGGCCAGGATGTGACAGCTTAGCCTCACAATGTGCTAGCAATAATGTAATTCAATCAATTGTTTATTAAATAATATTTTCTTTATTAAAAAGTTCTTTTGCATACGGATAATAATGTGATTAAATTAATTGTCAAATAATTTTTTTTTTTTTTTTTTATAAAATAAATGATGTTATCTACACTAAGGAAGAGGGGGATGTGCTTAGTTTAACAATGAGCTAGTAATAATGTGATTCAATCAATTGTTTATTAAATATATTTTCTTTATTCTTAATGTAAATTCTATAGAAACCGATTTTATTATTATATAAAATCAGCTGATTTAATTGGTTTATGAGAGGTTTCTTCTAGCATGATCTAAAGTTATTCATTTACTTCAAATATTTGACTTTTCTTTTGTCAATTTACGCTAGTCAGGCGGGCTAGCTCCTAGCGGCTAGGCGGGCGCCTAGGCGGATTTCTTGTTCCTCTTCCTGGCCTTCGATTGCTCTGCCCATCTTCTTCTTCCTTTGTAAAATTCCCCTGCTCCGCCCATCTTCCTTTTCCTTTGTAAAATTTCCCAAAACCTCAAGCACATCGAAGAAATCTTCTAAAACATTGCATGCTCGGTCAAAGAAATCCCAACTGTCCAGGTCAATTTCTTGTTTATCCCTACAATTGCAGATCTGTTATTCTAATTCTACATCGCTCTCTCTTCACTCATGCTCTCTCACCCTCTCTCTTCAATATTATGTGAACGCCTCTTCTTTTAGGCGATGCTATGAAACAATGATATGTATAAATATTTTTAACAGAACTGCCTAGTTCGCCTCCGAGGTCGCCTAGCCAGCCTAGTCGGCCGTCTAGGCACCGCCTAATACCCTAGCCGATTTGTTGAACGCTTTTGGAATAATCGTGGCGGCAGCCTGACGCCCATCGCTTAGGCGGCCGCCAAGCCTGCTTTTTAGAACATTGGTTACGTAACAATGTTAAGTGGCAGAATAACTCATTAAAATATATACGTGTGTTTTAAAAAATAAAAATTGTTAATCAAATTCGAGCCTATACTATTTTTTAATTGGACTATTTTGCCACTCGACAATGCCAAGATCCTCAAATAAAATTTCTCATACATATTGGCGAATCTAATAATTTCGTTATAATATTGCTAGGTGATGATGCTGAGAAAGTGAAAGGCGGTGCTGTTTCCTGCTACAAGAAGTGCGAAAACCATTCTCAGAAACAGTTGGGTTGAGAAATGTGATCTCTATTTGTCACCAGCATAAAATATTTGTGGCGAAAAGAAATATGTAACAATACTAATAACTTTGGTTGTTACCAAGTGAGTATGTCCCATGAGCCTCTGCTGCATGAATCAAAGAATCAATAATTTAAAAAAAATTATGTTTTTCTGTTTCTTGTGTGGTCCAAAGATTTTGGCAATAGCTAATTGTACACAATATGAATTTGTGAAATTCTAAAAAATATATACGTGCTCATGATCTTCATCACCTTAATTGATAATGTTAAGTTGCCAAGATGTATAAATGGTACCTGGTAAAATTAGTCTATAAATAAAGACCTAGCTAGGTTGTTTTGAAACATCAAACACACAAACCACAAAAAATTCTGAAAATTAAGGACAATTTAATTAGCCATGGAAGGAACCACCATTTTCAGCTTGAATGTTACAAAGTTATTGATGATCAACGCAGTGCTAGTTCATGCACTGCAGGTGCAGACACTTCGAATACACTACAAACCAAGACTTCGTCCCTACCTTACTCGTCCTCCTCCTCCACCCACAGACGGTGCTAGCTCCAGTCTGCCATCACCCACACGACCAATTCCAAGTCCACCACTACCATCATTTAAAGATCGCTTTCGCAATTTTAACCAACATATATGTGATCAGTCCTGTACTCTTGAATGCTGCGATCTCTTTGGCATCAACGAAACTTTGTGTCTCAATGGCCGCCTTCCTGATCATGATCATCCCGGCCTTCCCCACCGCCCTCCGTTTATAGGCCGTATCCTTACCCCTTATAGCATTTGTTACTCTCAATGCAACAAAAGATGCAGCTACCAGTTGCCTCCCACCCTCTTTCAATGTACTGCTGGATGTGGTTATCATTTCATTGATACTAAATCGGCCGAGTTAACTGATTTGGGTATGCTGTATCTCATATTTTCATGTATGAAATTGTTATTATAGTACTCCAAAACAGCCATCGAGCACTTCTCCCTTTGTGCGGCTTTTTTGAAGTGACAATAATAACTCCCTTCGTTTATATCGAAACTAATTAGTACAATTTTTATTTTGTTTTCATAGTTTACTCGTCAATAAAGTGTGTTTTTGTCCAGATGCTGACAAAGTGAAGAAACACGCTGCTTCCTGCTACCACAAGTGCAGGAAGATTTTTGAAGTAGTGTGACGGAGGCCGCAAATATATCAGGTTGAATAAGAATTTTTTTGTTTTTTTTTTTGTTTTTTGTTTTTGAAGAATCGTAGTAGTTAAATGGATCGGTGTAATGAATTTGGTCTCCTGGGTTGTTATAAAGCAGTGTGACGGAGACTGCATATTAACTTTTACGAATGCATAAAAGTTCATACTTTTATTTCTTGTCAAATAAAATATATAGTTGATCATTAGAGAAAGACGGTTGACTCTCCTATTTTTCAAACAAAAATCCAACTAATATTAAACATTTGTTGCAGTCATATTTAGAATAGGAATGTGATTGTGTAAATCCTAGGGAATCTGGGAATGTATCTTATATTCCTATTAAGATTAGATTACATATCCTACTACTATAAATAAAAGCACAATGAGGTGAATCAAACACACTTCACAATTAAATCAATCTCTGTAGACATCGAAATTTCGGTGAAATGAATGTTGATCAATAATTAAAATTTCAACGTTCATTTGTCACATAAATTCACGTAACATGTGACTCAATGAAAAATCGAAAATCATCGGAAAAGTCATCAAATAGGACATGTGTCAACACCTGGCAGAAATGATTTATTTCATCTGATTATTTAAATAAAAAAAATCAAGTTTTGAAATTCTATAAATAGGAAGCCAATGCATTCATTTTGATTCACCAATTCACATGACACCAAAACCTTAAAGCTTTGAAACTCTAAAGCTCCCAAGCGAATCCCGAAGGATCAAGAAAGCTTTCTTCGTTCTTCGTCAAATCCTCCTTCAAGATCAAGCCTCGACGGCCCTTGAAGAACTTCCACCAATTCAAGATCAAGCCCCGACGGCCCCTCGAAGAAAGTGTTCATCGTTCATCGTCCGTTCATCCTAAGATCAACCCTCAACGGCCATTTGGATCAACAACATCAACAAATCCACACATCCAACAGTTCTTCAAGATCAAGCCCAAAAGCCCCCTTTAAGATCCGTTTGTCAACCTTCAAGATCAAGCCCCAACAGCCCCTGGATCAACAGCACAATCCATAAATTCACACATTACGAAGATCGAATCAGAGGCTAAATTTGTAGAAGAGATTGTAACCCTTAAATCATTAATACAAATATTATTTTGTGTCTTGTCTCATTCATTGCAGGAATTTCAGTGTTTACAAATTTGGCACGCTCGATGGGACTATCTCTACCTCTCATCTCTATCTGCAAATTCGTAAAAAGCACAAATGGCATCAAGGAAAGCTCAAGCTGTTCTCGTAACCAACGCGAAGAACAAAAGCGTCCTCACCGCAGGCGGTGTCACTTTGGGCATCACAACCCGAAGCAAGGTAAGAGCTTTTTCTGCCATCTCTTCCACCCCTGCATCAATTCTGCCGAAGGAACAAAAGCACCTGAGGCACGAGCCCGTGATCACCTTGGCCTCGCTAAGGGCACCAAGGGAGGAAAACCCGAGGAAGTACTCCGAGTCCTTGCTTTTCGATGCCGACTCGAGTGACAGCACAACCATGCAAGTCATGGCTACCGGAGTAACTTCAATTGAGGAACAACTGGCTCAAATGAATGAAGCGATCGTAAAACTCACACGGATTGTGAAGGAAAAAGACTTGCAAATCGCCGCACTTATCAACCAACTAGATGCAAAGCCCGACATGAAAGTCGACCCAATGGTTAATTTATTAAAGAAAGAAGTCGATGAAGAAGAGGAGCCTCCAGCGAAGAAAGTCAAAGAGAAGCCAGAGCCAGACCAAGCAATGGCATTCATGGGATCTTTCTCTATCCAGCAGTTGCAGGAGATGATCGTTAGCACCATCAAGGCGCAGTACGAAGGAAGCTCTCATGACTCTGTACTATACTCAAAGCCCTACTTCAAGAAGATTGACGCTTTGAAGATGTCGAGAGGTTATCAACCACCAAAGTTCATGCAGTTCGATGGAAAGGGAAACCCAAAGCAACATGTCGCTCATTTCATTGAAACTTGCAACAATGCTGGAATGGATGGAGACTAGCTCGTCAAGCAATTCATGCGCTCGCTGAAAGGCAATGCCTTTGACTGGTACACTGACCTCGCCTCCGAGTCTATCAATAGTTGGGATCAGCTAGAAAGGGAATTCCTCAACCGTTTCTACAGCACTCGTCGCACCGTAAGCATGTTGGAGTTAACCAGTACGAAACAGTGGAAAGATGAACCTGTCGTTGACTACATCAATAGATGGCGTTCATTAAGTTTGGATTGCAAAGATCGGCTTTCTAAAACATCTGCCATTGAGATGTACGTTCAAGGCACGCACTGGGGGTTACATTACATCCTTCAAGGTATAAAACCAAGAACATTTGAGGAGCTGGCAACTCGATCCCATGACATGGAGCTGGGTATCACCAATCATGGGAAAAAGGAGCCGATCACCGACTTCAAGAAAGATAAAGTGTTTTCCTCAAATGTAGACAGGACTGGAAAAAAACCCTCAAATGAAGCTTTTACTGTAAACACTGCACCCATCAAAACCTCCACCGTGCCCATCAAGACCTTATCCGCACCTATCAAGATCTCCTCCAAGACCAAAGCAAAGGAGATAAAGAGAGGTGAGCCTCCTTGCACCCAAGACAAGTACAAAAACACCTTGAGGGAACTGGAGGAAAAGACGTACCCTTTTCCTGACTCAGACATGGATGCAATGTTAGACGACTTGCTGGAAAAGAAGGTGATCGAGTTACCAAAATGCAAGCGCCCTGAAGAGATGAATCGCGTAAACGATCCTAAGTATTGCAAGTACCATCGTATCGTGAGCCATCCTATTGGCAAATGCTTCATCCTTAAAGAACTCATCATGAAGCTAGCACAACAAGGGTAAATCGAGCTCGACCTTGAAGACATGGCCGCAACACATACTATTACAATTGCTTTTGGATCCTTCAATCCCGTGCCCCTCCAAGTGACACTCGACCATTCCTGTCAATACTCAAGTTGTACAACACCTTTTGCACAACCATCACTAGGGGCAAGCGACCAAGATGCACATACCGATGATGAAGAATAATGGACATTGGTGACCTATAAAAAGACAAGGAAACCAAACCACAAGCCACAAAGCTAAAGGTGGAACAAAGGAGAAAGCACCGTCGCTGTAATAGTAGGAAGCCCAAAAGAAACGTAAAAGCTGCTAAGCCAACATACGCTGGGGAACCTGATGAGTAGATTTTATATTATATATTTTACCCTAATCTTAGTATATTTTGGTTAATATATTGGAAGAATTTTGATACTTTGAATTGTATTTTCAATATAGGACTTTTGACTTCCTCTGGAGCAAAACAGGACCAAATGGACGAATTTTGGAGTAATTCTAGTTGGAGGACGTTCGTGAGTCACTTAGCTTGATCGTATCAAAATTTGGGATTTTTCCACCAAGCGGTTATTTTCTGGCGATGAAATAAAGAAGCTGTGCGTAGTGCTGGAAAGTGACGTTTTTAGGCTTAAATTGCGTTTTTGGAGCCCAAAATGACCTCGGATGGGTTCGTGGCCTTCTGGAAAAGTGTTCAGAATATTCCAAACATTAAATCCAGCTATATTGGGCCAGTTTTGGAGCAGCTTTTGGGCCAAAACGTGGCTGTTCAGATTTTAAACGAATTTTACTATTTTTATTTAGGGTTTTTTTTAATTTTAGTTGGCTAGGGTTTGTGTGGTGGCTTAGCAAATATATTGCTTGGCCGTCTACAGTTTTTAGGAGGCTTTATTTTATGCAATATTGGAGACAAAGAGAAGTGTTAGGGTTTTGAAGATTTTCTACTTGAAGGTGTTTTCAATCCTTTTCTTAATAGATATTTCTATGATTTCAATTATGAATATGCGGAACTAATTTCTTTTGCTAGGGCGAAGCCTTGAGCCTTAGCATGAATATGTGATTTTTATTTAATTGCTTATGATTGATTGCATGCATATTTTGAATTGTTAATCACCGGGATAAAAACTATCTAATTGTCTTAATGCCTGATCACCATTAGCATCTTTAGAAAAGTAATTTGATGCAATTTTGGTCGGAAGGTTCCCTGAAATTGACGCTGGCTTCTTGTGATTAATAATTGTAATTTCTCTTAGGATGAATATCACGTCTTAAGGATTGCATGGTTTTTCAAAGGATTTTCATAAAGCATAATGAGTCTTTCATGTTTAGATTTGATCCGAACGTCCGGACGGGTTGCATGTTAGATATACGTTCTATGTTGGAGGTTCCAAGTAGAATATGAATTAGAAAAATCTAACCTTCAAAGTAGCATGTGTAGATCATAAGTAATTGGTAAAAATTCATAGGATTGCTAGGTGATGGTAGAACCCTAGTGCTTTCTTAATTTTATTCTCCCAAAACTGTTTTCTTTCTCTCTAGCTCTAATATTGCAGATTGTTTATTTTAATTCATTAATTTCGTTTTTATTTTAATTAGGTTACAAAATCAATCACTTCAATTTCTACTTTACAATAATTAAATGGAATCTGATTAGTTCGAATTATTTAATAATCCCTGTGGAGATGACCTTGCGAAATCCGTTTATACTACAATAACCTTGTGATTCTTGCAAGTAAAATAGGAAATTTACTACTCATGCCACAAAGCTAAAGGTGGAACAAAGGAGAAAGCACCGTCGCTGTAATAGTAGGAAGCCCAAAAGAAACGTAAAAGCTGCTAAGCCAACATACGCTGGGGAACCTATGGAGCAAGAGCCACGTATTCCATTTTCCTTGCACGAGTACTTCCCGAAGAACTTCTTCCAGTAGTGCACTATCGCTGCATGTCACATGGTCGAAGTAGAAACTGAAGAACTTTCAAAAGGCAAAGTCATCGCCATTAAGGGAGAAATTACCCTCACACCCAAAGAAGGTCTGCCGACGTACTTTAGCATCGAGGAAGCGCTATGATTGCCAAAGAAGATGCAAAGAGCACTAGCAGCGGTCTTGGCAAGTCCCGATGACCATGAAGTGCAAGAAAGCAAGGAGAAGGCTTGAAACTTCGACCACATGAGTATGCCGCTTGTTGTGCTACCCAGGACGCAATCCACTTCACCGATGAAGACTTGCTACTAGGATCCAAGCCTCACAATCGTCATCTCTTTGTCTCTAGGTACGTAAGGGAGCATAAAGTCAATCGCATGCTTGTGGATGGTGGATCGGCCATAAACATCATGCTGAAGTCAACAATGACCACAATAGA